TTGCATGAGTTAACTTTTTTGAAATTATATATATTTCTTGTTCAATTTTGTTTGAATTTTACTGCGAATCGTGTTTAATAATTTAATTTGTCCACTTTTATTTGAAAATCTGTACATCCATATTGAGTTTTAACGACCGTCACTTGTAATTAATCTCATTTAGTAATTAAATTTTAAAATTAATAAAAGTAATAGAAGTAATAAAAGTTCGTCCATTATATATGCACATTTTTCTTCGGAACTTAAAATTAGTGTCCAAAATATGCTTTTTCTTGGCGCCCGTGGGATAATAAGATCGATGTGCCCCTCTTCATAAGAAAATACACGAGAGAGGAAGCAAAATTGCCGACTCAAAAGGCTTCCGTCCCCGTTACTATAGCCAATTTTTTTTCTAAATAAATATACATTCATTTGTCTTTTCTAGTTCTTTCATTATTTGATAAATATCACCACTAATATTGTGTTTGCTTTTAATATTTCACGTGAATCGGCTTTTTTCCTTTTGGATTTTTTCTTATCACCTGAGACCGTAAATTCTATATCACTAATCATTTGTTCTTTTTTTTCTTCCTGGAGGATTCCACCTCATATGGTACATTTAACCTGTGACAGACTGACACAATTACCTTAACCTCGGTCTTTATACATTAATTAAGGTTTCTATAACAACGTAGAAGAGACAAATCGAGCAGGGAATCCTGCGGCTCCGATTTCACTAGTTGATGGGGGAATTCTTTTCTTCCATTTCTTATCAACAAGTGCAGACATCCCCACTTCTCTATTTTCTTTTATCGCAAAACCAAGCTCATTTTTGTTTGAAACCTCGTACCGTCTTCATATACATTTTTATTGTGTTTAATTCCTATGTGTATTTAAGTTTGAACAAATTTATTCTGTAAGTAATTATTATTATTATTAAACAATTGAATAACGAACATTATGAATCTACATTTTTATTCGGCTAATTGTGATAGTTATAATTTAGCGGATTTTTATTATTATTTTTTATATTTCCTTTTTATTAATATTTCTACCCTATTTCTACCCCTTTCGAGTTTAATAGCCACCACAATTTATTGTGGGTTTTGGGAATCGAACCAACGACCTTTGGTATTAGATTTTCGTGATACAAGCAAAAATTCAATTCAAAAGTAACTTTATTTACATACATAATTATTGATACAAATCTCTCAACATAATTATTGCATAGGTTTATATTTCTTACACTTTTAACAATATTATGGAGATAATTGCCGGAGCAATTATTTACATTTGAAGTGCTTAGGATACTTAAGATTAAAATATTTAAACTATGGTTGTTAGTACATATATACAACTATTTCTATGTTGGAGGGAAAATGTGCGTGGTAAATTTTATTTAAAATGCATTAAAAATATATTAGGCCTCTAGGGCCTTATCAATTATTTATTTAGGAGAGGAGTGATGGTGTTGGATGGGGGAGGGAGATAGAGAGTATTTACATGTGGAAGAAAAAGAGGTTTTGGTATGGAAGTTTATATTTTAGGTGTATTGTGAGCTCTCACATTTGTGATTTCTGTCTATTATTATTTAATTGCAAACTGTAAAACGTTTCGGTGGCTTCAATAATGTACTGATCGATGTGAACTATTCCAGCTTCTTGAACTAGGTCGGTGATTCTAATGTCCCTTTCGCGCTAGTCGAAAACATTTGTTTTCCAAGATTTTTAGTTTCTTTTTGTGTATTTCTGCGGCGCCACACCAGACGGGTGCCGCATATGTTATAATAGGTCTAAGTAATTGCTTATACAACAGGATTTTGTATCTTTTTTTTAAGTGGACTGTTGACTAATTTCCTATAAGAATAAAGTTAATGAAAAATTAATAAAGTTTGAAGTAATTTTAGACAAATTTGTAATAACTAGGAAATTAGTTAAATTATTATGTAATTTGAATTTCCAAGTAAATTTTAATACCTGTGTCGTGGCCAACCAATTTATTATCATCTATTGTATAACTAATATGTATATTTGTTAGATCTACCACTTTCCTCTTAAGTATTACAAAGCAAATTTCACGTAACTTTAAATTGTATAGTTGCATCTATTTTATCACCACTTAACAGCCTTCTTCCACTCCTAAATATTTCGGTAGGACCATACAACTTATATAAAGAAACGGTTGTAACGGTTGTTCTTTACCGCCCACACTTTGAAATAAACACATTTTTATGTTATATAATTTAATCTTAGCTAGAGGGTCGAACTATGAGGAAGTCTTAGTTAAGGGGTCTAACTGAGAAGATAGTTTTACTTGGAGAGTCCAAGGAAGAGCTTACTTCTTAAATACTAACTTAAGAGGATAATGTAACTCTTAGTAATAATCCCTGAGATCAACTATTGTATTGTTGAATTTTCAATAAAACTCCGATGAGTATAATAAAGTTAATTAAGAATATTGCATTTAATATTCATAAACGCCTCTAAGACTCCACAACGACATAACTACGAGATAATCCAAGGATTTCTTAATCTCGGGAATCCTGAATCTTACAAAATATGAGGAAAAGAGAACTTCGCGAGTTTAATCCGTTCCAAAATTTCCGGATTTTTACTCGTATAGTGAAATACTCGTATAGTGAAACACTCGTATAGTGAAATACTCGTATATTGAAACACGTTTTCCCATATAAACTAATGTAAATTACGATAATGCGTTCCATGCCGGAGAAAAAAATGTATAACTTGGTCTCGATTTTTCTCATGAAATTGCTTTTCATATATATGATTATGTTTTTTCTTTGGCTTTTTATTCGGAGACATGTAAGTGTTATTAAATTTTGCACAAAAAAAAAACACAAATAACAGCAAGAACTGTTTTCCAATTCACACATGGTGAAATGAGTTTATATTTGTTTATATTACTTGTACCGACAAAGGGACTTGGTGGAGGTCTCTTGTTTATTGAAAAAAGCTTATATAATGTGTTTATATATTATAATAATGGTTGGACACAATACATTTGTGTTCTGTATTTGCAAAGTATAGTCCGCTTCAAACAAAGATGACAAAGAAAATCGAAGATGGTTAATATATTCAAAAATACATTAATATGAGTGCACAAGTTTTAAAAATTATGTAGCCGGCGCGCAATTCAGGACTTCTCTTCTCATTGACACTCGTTATAAGAAACGTCGCTCGTTAAGCGAGTCATTTTTCGTACAATTAATTTTGCACGTTAAGCGAAATGCTCGTTAAGTGAGGTTCCACTGTACTTATTATATAAATTTGAATATCAAAGTAAATGTTAATTCTTATATGAATAAAGTTAATGAAAAATTAATAAAGTTTGAAATAATTTTAGTCAAATTTGTAAAGACTAGAAAAAAAATCTCTAAGAAATTAGTTAAATTATTATATAATTTGAATTACCAAGTAAATGTTAATACCAGAACCATACAAAGTTTAAGGAAATGATAATATGAAGATCTCGCCAATTTATATATTAAACAAAATACAGTTGATTCCGCGCTTAATCGGGATATCGATGCAAGTAATGAGCAAATTCATAATTCAAGCAATATATCAATAGTTTGCAGGCGGACCTAACCGTTAAAACCAATAGAATTGTTAAGAACAAAAAAAAAACAGGCGTATAGGAAACGCCTAATTTTTTTACTACTTTATTATCTCTAACAAAAAAAAAATAGTTGTGAGACACCAATAGTTTTGCAGTTCAACCCGAGTATTAGAACCAATAGAATTGTTAACAACAAAAAAAAAACGGGCGTTGCCGTTTCTTCATCTAGCATTCGAGGATATGATTTGCAACTGCTGTTCTTTATCACTACGCAGAGATACGCAGAAAAGTTTTCGTATAGAAAACGCCTAAATTTGTTATTACTTTATTTTCTCTAAGAATAAGGCCGACCCGACCATTAGAACCAATATAATTGTTAAGAACGAATAAAGCTGGGCGTTGCCTTCGTCTAGTGTTTGGCGATATCATTTGCAACTACAATTGGTTATATTTATCCAAACGTTTTCGTATAGAAATTGACCAATAAACATGTTAAAATTACAAGAAATAATTTATTAAGATATCATTAGCAATATATAGTAATTATTTTTTTTAATGTAATTAAATCCTACATTAATAAATTCGTGGAAATAAAACTTAATACAAGAAATTCGTCTCTTTTTTATAAATTATAACATTGAAATAATCATTTTTGCATATCAAGTGAACGCAATTTTATAAAACAACTATGCTTTGTTTAATATTTACACAGTTGTGTTTATAAAAGAATATTTAGAAGATTTATTTTATTGAGGCGCATTGTGGGATATTTTTCATTTCGGGCTTTTAAAAAATAAGACAAAGAAATTTTGACGATTTGAATGCCACTGCATTAATTGTAAGGTTGTTACCATTACAAACTATAACTTAGGTTAAAAAGAAAGAAATGAATAAAAAATTTAAAAAGAATATATTGAAATATATCTAATAATTCTTGAATCATGAAACAATCTGAAACAATCATTATCATATCTACATAATCATGTAATATTACATTTAGGGTGATAAAATTAAGTTTTGTTGAGTTGCCTAAAAATGTTACTAGATTAATTGTTGGTAACATGTACAACTTGTTGTTTTTTTTATCGCGAACATTTGGATCAATATGATTGGTGGTGAGCGCCAACGGCAGTATTGAGAATCTGTACCGGGAGCGAACTGCATAGTCTCACTTGTTTCGAAAGCATTGTCCGTTGGTGTCCATCTTTTGTGTAGTGAAAAATCTTCAGATCAGAATTTTGCAGAACCGCGCACACTGATTGAAACTTATGTAAGTTACTTTATTTATCATCGAATGAACTAATGGCCCGCATGTTTCTTGGAACGCGGATTTTATTTAAAATGGGGGAGCGACGCAAACCCCACAAACATGGACCGGAGGGAAAGGACCGTAAGCATTTACAACAACAAACCAACAAAAAAAAAGTTGTTCTTTTTAAATGGCGGCCTACACGTCTACGAAGCTTTGCTGTATTTAATTTGGTTTTTGCGAATAATTGTGCATATCCATTCTTATTCGGCTGATAGTAATAGTTTCTAAACTAATTTTTTTAACTTTTGCGCATTTTTCTACCGCCAATCCCATCGCCATGATTGGTTCGCACTTGTAGGAATCTGCTATTACCGACCAAGTACACCTCTTAAACTCGCCTCGGTTTCAGATCAAATTGTTTAGTTAAGTTTAGCGACGTCTTAATCTTAGCGGTAGATTTAATTATTTCGCACTGGTAGCGAGTTGGAGAGCATTTCAATTTGTTAGTTACAAAGTTCACATTAGTTTTGAAAATTCGAGATGATTCGCCATGTTGGATTGTAATGGCCGCGACTAGAGTGTAGTGACAAGTTTCTCTGTAAGTACTTGCTATTAAATAATTAAAAAGCGACCATTATGTATGTACATTCTTATCGGTCCGATAATAATAGTTTAAAAAAATAGTTAGAAAACTTTTAGGCTCTTCTTTTGCCGCCAAAACCGTTATAATTCGTTTATTGCCGGGCATAAGAATTTTTGTTATGTACTTATGAAAAAGCCGGTGATTTGATTGGTTCGCGGAGGCTGCGCGCGTAGGAGTATTCAATTTTGTTGCCGACTAGGTTCACTTCAGTTCGGAAATCCTTACCGATTGCACCGTATTGCATTTTAATGGCCGCGACTACTGTTTAATTCCCGACAGAATACAAAAGTGAATCAAATTTCTCTGTAAGTATTTCTTATTAGATATTTATAAAGCGACCATTATGAATGTACATTCTTATCCGACTGATAAAAAAATAGTTCGAAAACTTTTGCACTTTTCTTTTGCCGCCAAAACCGGTGATGTAAATCGTCTATATTGTTAAACGGGGCAATTCGAATGTGGGCACATATATGGGTGGGGGGGTGGTGGTCAGCGGGCAGAAGAATTTTTGTTGCGACTGTTCTAATGTAATTTTCCTGTATTTGTTATGTACTTTTGAAAAAGCTGTAACTTCTGCGTTCTTTTTTTTTCTTCTACCGTTCATATCCGGTGATTTGATTGGTTCGCGGAGGCTGCGCGCGTAGGAGCATTCAATTTTATTGCCGACTAGTTCACTTCAGTTCGGAAACCCTTACCGATTCCACCATATTGCATTGTAATGGCCGCGACTACTGTTTAATTCCGGACAGAATACAAAAGTGAATCAAATTTCTCTGTAAGTATTTCTTATTAGATATTTATACAGCGACCATTAAGAATGTACATTCTTATCCGGCTGATAAAAAATAGTTCGAAAACTTTTGCCGCCAAAACCGGTGATGGAAATCGTCCATATTGTTAAACGGGGCAATTCGAAAATTGGCACATATATAGGGGTGTGGGGGGTGGTCGGTGCAGAAGAATTTTTGTTGCGACTGTTCTAATGTAATTTTATTGAATTTGTTATGTACTTATGATAAAGCTGTATCTTCTAAGCTCTTTTTTTTCTGGCCAACGCCCAGTGACATGTTTTGCCGAATCTTCCATATTGTTCACTTTTGTTTGAAAACTTGTGACTTTTGCAAACATCCACACTTCTTTATTATCTTTTATGGCAAATATTCCGTGTTTTGAATGGTCCCCACGTAGGAATTCTTGTATTTTATTAAAAATCAAGCTCACTTTTGTTTGAAACCTTGTACGGTCTTCACGTTCATTGTCTTTGTGTTTAATTCCTATGAGTATTTAAGTTTGGAACAAATTTATCTGTAAGTAATTATTATTATTAAACAATTGAATAGTTATAATTTGGTTTTCAAATTTGTCGCATTAACCATATTTATTTGTATAACTTATATAATTTAGTTTATAAACTTTCGTATTTTTTCTGCCGCCATAACCCGGTGATTTGATTGGCTCGCACTGTACCGACAGTAGGAATCTTCAATACCGACGGGGTTCAATCATTGTTTGAAAAACTATGCCGACTCGAGAGTTCATTTTGTTTATTGAATAGCCAAGACTTATGTTAAATGCAGAAGAATATTTACATTTGAATCTAATTTTGTGTAAGTATTTGTTGATCAACCAATAATTGTAATGGATTACTTTATTCCGAATACGAGGAAGAACGTTATAAATTACATATTACAATATTAATTGCAGATAGCTTACTAATTACAGAGCAGTACAGTTTATATTGTTTAAAATTATATTTGATTAAGGAATCAAAGTTGCTTTGCAATTAGGCAACTTGTGGTATACGGCGCCTGTTGCTGTCTTCGCTAGTGTTTATATAACCGCCATCAGCAATGATCTTTCGCGCAAGCGGTTTAGCTGGTATCCGTTAAGCGTTTATCCTATTCTCATAATACTGTTGTTTATTTTATTTGAAATACAAGTTTAGCTGGTGACAACAATGTTAGAACATAGATTTAGTGACTGTTACTATAAGAAAGTATAGAGCATGCTGATAGCAAAATTTGTAAGTTCGTTATTTGATTACAAAAAAAAAGAATTTGCCGGTACTCGTTACATCTGTTTCCTATTCAAACTTGTGTTGTGCTTTTTTATATTTTTTTTTATATATGAACATTTTTTTTGTCTCAATGTTACATTGATAGTTGTGATTAGCCTATAATATTCATTTTTCTGTTACCAGTAACATTTAGTGATATTAATGAAATACTGGAAACATGGAGGATAGCGATGACACAATTAATGTGGTTGTGAGGGTGAGGCCTACAATCAGCAGAGAGCAAAAGGAAGGATGCAAGGAGTTCTGGAAGGTTGAGGACAATACAATCTGTCTGATCAACGATGGCAGTTCAACTATGCACGATAATTTTTACATATTTGGTGAGTTATTACTTTTGAACAATAAGCTGTATTATAAAACTTAATTTAATTCCTATTAGACTACATATTTGATAAGCAGAAGAAGAATGCAGACGTCTATAATAAAGTTAGACCTATTGTTCAGTCTGCTATTGATGGTATTAATGGTACAGTATTTGCGTATGGGCAGACATCATCTGGAAAGACACACTCCATAATGGGAGATCAAAAGGAGAAAGGAATCATACCGCTGGCTATAGATGATATATTTCATGTTATTCAAAATGATAACAAGAGGAAGTATTTGCTAAGGAGTTCCTATATTGAAATCTATAACGATAAAATTAATGACTTGTTGAATAAATCACAAACTGATTTGAAAATCCGTGAGGATATAAGTGGTAATTTGAGTATAGCCAATTGTGTGGAGGAGATCACTCGCTCTAGTGATGAACTCATGGATGTTGTGATGAAAGGCAACAGAAATAGACAGATCTTTGGTACAGCTATGAATGAGAGGAGTTCCAGAAGCCACGTAATATTTAAAATAGTGATTGAGTCATCCCCAAGTGATGATGTTTGTGGAGATGAGGAGATTCCAGTGCAAGTGTCACAATTGTATTTTGTGGATTTGGCTGGTTCTGAACGGGTAGCCCAGACAAAGGCTACAGGTGCAAGACTCAAGGAAGGTGGTCAAATAAATAAATCGCTTTCAATTTTGTCCAGAGTTATTCGACAGCTTGCAGAGAATGTAAGCCATGTAAATTTTAGGGACTCGAAACTTACAAGACTGCTCTCTAATGCATTAGGAGGGAATTGCAAGACCCTTATTATTGCTGCAGTTACACCAGTTTCAATAGAAAATACGCAATCTACTCTAATGTTTGCACAAGCTGCAAAGACAATTAAAACAAAACCACGAGTAAACCAGGTGCTTACCAATGAAGCTTTAATAAAGCAACAGAAAAATAAAGAGAAGAAATTGATCAATCAACTCGAACTTGAGCGTACAAAAAACATAACTTTACAAGTAAACCAGTCTATGAAAGATAAGATGATTAAAAGTCTTGAAGATCAAATAAAAAATATTCAGCTTAGTTATGTAAGAAGGGAACCAATAAGGACCAGTAGTCGAAGACATACAATGGGTTTTGAAAGGCCAAGTTCGTCCATGTATAGTAAAATTCCTCTACTTAGAATATCTGAAGAAACAAGTAAGTTGACAAATGTGTCAAATTTGTATTATTTAATTACAATATATGTCCAGAACCTTCTCCATCCTTCCTAACTGCGGAACCTGCTCCATCCGATCATTCTGAGGAGGCGCTAGATACGATTACCATTCCTGATGAAATGGATGTGTCCGAAGTAGAATCTACTTGCAGTACCCCCAAACGAGTTCTTCGACAGCGACTTGTGGATTTGGATGAATCGCACACCGAACTTAAAAAGTTCAATCAGTACGAACATGATTTCAACACGATGGTAAATTAGAATACTAATATGATTGTTATATACTGATACCTTTAATGTCTTGTATAGCAGGAATTGGAAAATTTGAATAAGGAGCTGGAAACGGAGAGGACTAAAAGGAAAGACATTGAAGAGAGTTTCATGTCAATGCGCGATTTAGTTGTAAGTCTCTAAATGTTTTAATATTACGTGTAGTATTAATTATATTTGCAGGACAAGCTAGAAATTAAAAATAGTGAAATGGAGATATCAATGGAGTCTCTCAAGTCGCGCTTCAAAATTCGCGAATCTGAACTATTAAGTGTGATGTCAAAAAAGAAATCCGATATTGCACAACCCATGGATATTTCTACAATTGATACGGATAAAATTGATAATAAAATGCAGTGTGAGGAAGCGAAAACAAGTAAGGAGTTCCAGATTCGTGAAGATAAATTATGCTTGGAGGCGAAGTTGGTTATGGCGATAGAGCAGAACAAGTTACTTTTAGAGGAGAACAGTGAAATTAAGTTCCGAGAAACTTTACTGAAAAATAAGATATTAGGATCATCCCAGAATGAAAATATGTCGACTGATGATTTGACTAACATAAGGAAATGCGATTTACGCAAATCAATAAGTGACTCAAAGATCTGCATTTATGATGAACCCATCATGGTCCGATCAAGTTCTTCGCCGAACATAAATGATCAATCAGTTGGTTTGACGAACTCTAACGAAGAAATTTTTGAAGATCTAAGGAAAGGTTTCTCATCGCTCCAATCACTGCTTACAGCAAATTCATCTCATCTTACCAAAAGTACACGTGAGGAAGTTAACATAGAGCAGAACGATTATGTAAATAATCTACAAATAAGAAATAATGATCTTGAAATGCAAATAATAAAACTCCAGCAGGAAAATGAAAAACTTCTCAATGAACATTCTGCACAACTGACTACTATGAATGATAATCATTCGGCTCAGGTGATGACCTATGAAAATACAGTAAAGGAACTTAGTGGATATAATAAAACTATGGCTGATGAATACAATAGTCAGCTGACTCAAGCTAATACTCAAGCATCCATTGAGTTAAGTGACGGTGAACATAAGTTAGCAAAAGCTAATATTACAATAAGCCAACTGCAAAAAGAGTTGCTTACAGTACAAGATCAATTGAACTTAAATGAGAAAAGTAAGACGTCTGAAATAGGTAAGATTCAAAGCACTTACTCAGAACAACTGTCTGCAATACAACAGGATATTGCCAATAAAAAACAAGAAGAAAATGAGTGCACAGATGAAATTGATTTGATAAAGGAAGCTTTAAAGAAATATGAAACAGAAATAGATAATTTGAAGCTGAATATAACAAAGCAAAACAATTATTCTTTAGAGCGATATAATAATTACGAACGAGTTATAAATGAAATGCAGATAACGAGCAAAACTGTATTAGAAGAGAAGGAGTGCGAAACTAAAATGGTATCTGAGAAGAGCATGGAACGTATTAAGGAGTTAGAAGCTAATATAAGTTCTCTTCAAGTAGAATTGGAGACAAATAATAAAGAGAGTATCGAAATATCAATGGAAGTAAAACGTTTGCAACTATTAGTAGAATCCGGTCAGAGCAGCTTGGATGCAGCAAACAGATCCTATGAAGCTTTGCAATTGCAGCTGCAGCAAGAAAAAAGTTCTCTGAATACTCAAGTGGAGACTGCAAATAAGGAACGCAATGAAGCAATCAAACAATCTAAAAGCATGCAAGAGATGTATCAAACGACCATGGACAACTTGAATGCGGCGAGCGAATACAGCAAAAGCATTCAACATGAGTCCAACAAAGATATGAATCTGATGAGATCAGAATTAGATCAAGCTATTGAAGAGAAGAAGCAGCTTGCTTTGGAACTAACAAATGTTCGCCAGCAGCACGAACAAATAAATGCTGCCACAAACGAGCAGTTGCAAAGCCTAAAAAGTACATTGAATGCCAACAACGAGGAGATGAAAGAATTGAGAGTCTTATTGGCTGAAAAGGATGCACATTTAAAGAATATTAATGATGATTTGGCCCAGCAGTACAAACAGAAGGTGGGGAAATTAGAAGATGATATTAAGAGACAAGATGATACCGTAAGGGTGAGAGATACACAAATAATAGAGCTTACCGCATCACTGAAGAATGCTTCTGATGAAGTGTTGCTGCTGAAAGAGAAATTATCTCAAAGTATTAAATGTAATGAAGACCTGTTAAATGAAGGTTCCATGCAAATACAGCATCTTGAAGAGGAATTGAATTTGAAACATAACGAATTGAAAAGAACTGAACGGCTGTTTGAGGAATTGAAGCTAAACCACATTGTTGAAGTGAAAGATCTTGAAGATAAGATCAAACAACACGAGCCTGCGGTTAAAAGGGAAAACGATGATAATGATACCAATAATGAAGATTCTACGATTCCAAGTGATATGGAATCTGATACAAAGCCTCTTAAACATATGTTATGTGAATGCGCTATAGAGATAAAGAGATTGGAGGAGCAACTAAATGCGGTGCGAAATAATCTTGTCGCTGCAGAGAAGGCCAATGAAGAGCTGGAAAAGAATTATAAATCGCTCTACGATACCCACGAGGCTGAAATGACTATCAAAAATCAAGAGCTTGCTACAGTTAATGATACGATCGTCCAATACCAGAGGCGTCTGGCTGATTCGAGAACCGAGTTGAAGGATGCAAGAATAAACATCGAAGATTTGAAAGAAAAATATAATTTGGAGATTAGTCAATTGAAAGCGAATCACAAGAAGAAAGAGAGCGAATTAAAGTTAGATAAAGATACAAGAATTATTCGCAATCATAAGGAACAGATCCAAGCTTATGAAAATAAATTACGATCTGTTAATGCTATCAATGATCGTTTATTGGAAGAAAGTTCTGATCAGGTGAAGCAACTCGAAATGGAAGTGCAGAGTGTACAGGAGAAAATTACCGCCGCATATAACAATCACGCAGATGAAATTGAAAGAGTTCGTGCTATGCATAGCGAGGAAATGCGCGCACTAATGCAGGCTAATGACCATAAGGACTCTGTAAAAATAAATGAACTTAAAGATTCGTATGAAAAGACTATGCAGCTTCAAAATATAGAAATCGCAGCATTGCAGAAGAAGCTTAAGGAAGAACTTAGGAATAACGAAGCCAATCTAAAGGTGCACACAATTTCTAAAAGTAATCTAGCAAATGCGTTGAATGTCGCAGAAGAAAAAATAAAAAAAACTACAAAAGAAATTGAAAATTTAAAGGAGACTCATACTAAGGAAGTTAAAAATATAAATGACAATCATAATCGCGTCATAGAGAATTATCGCCAGAACAACGACTTATTAAAATCATATGCGAAGAAGAACAATGATCTTGAAAGCGAAATAACTAATCTGAAAATACAAATTCTAACGGCTCGTAAAAATTGTGACACCATGACAGAGTCGTATTTGACGAACGTAACGAAAATTAACCAAGACCACAGGAAGGAGATTAAATCTTTGGCAAATTTGAGTACTCGTAAAGAAGAAGAATGTAAAGAAATTGCAGTAATTTTGGAAAAAGAGAAATGTGAGACTACGAAATTAAAAGAAGAGCTGAATAAAGCCTTATTGACGATTACTAAATTGACTAATACAACTGATGAGCAGAAGAAAAATAAAGAGGATATCGACTGTAAATTACACATCTTGAATACAACAATTATTAATATAAGAGCTATAAACGAAAAGCATAATAGAACCATAAAAGAATTAGAAAAGGACGTTGCTGTCAAGAATCAAGAGATTAGGGAAATTAAGAAAAGAAACTCTAATTTAGAAGAAAAAGTCAAGGAGATGGAGCTTGAGAAAGCTAATGAAGAGGAAGAAGAATCACAAGAGACTGAAGAAGTTGATAATGTGCCCGAAGTCGCAGTACAAGATGGCGCTATTGCCAGCCTTGATACATTGGAAGCAAATGGATGCTCTTCGTGTGAACAAACAATAAATGAACTTAAATCGACTGTGTATAAGACGACACTGCACAACAGTAAATTAATAGACAATTGCTACCGATTGAGGAGTAAAAATCAGTCGTTACAGTGCAAAATTAACGATTTCCGTAAAGCTCTACAAAAGACGAAAAATCACATGGATACTCTCAAAAAAACTTTAGAGTCCGAAAAAGATAACACTCGTAAAATGACTGAAAATTTGACTGTTAGCAATTCAGATGTGCAAGTACTGAAAGCTAAGCTCGCGGTGGAATACGCGAACGTTGAAAAATTGAATAAGAAGATCGTGGAGCTTCAAACTGCACAAAAGATCTACAGAACACATTTAAAAGAGCAAACGGTGGAATCTAGGTTTGAAGAAGCGAATACTTCAAAGTCGTTCCAAGAAGGAGTAAAGGAACGCAGGCAGTCCCTTCACGACCAGCGTAGGGACATTGATGGTATGTTTCCAGTTATTTGCTCTTAAACATACTATTGTTCTAATTATTTTTTTGCAGCTTGTGAGAAATGTCAGAAACGCCGCGCTGAGATCGCGGAGTATCAAAAGAGTAATGACAATTTGATGAAGTTAAATCAAATGCTGAATGATCAACATAAAATTCTCCAATCTAAACTTAGAAGTGATGAAGACTCTGACGCACTTGAATTGCAGGATCAATTCAATTGCACTGAAATTCTTTTAAGAAATTTAAACCGGTGCATGACCAAAGGGTATGATGCATGCGAACATTGTACATCTCTGTTGAACTTTACCAATAAGAAGGTGCTGGCATTGAGCAAGATCTCAGAGACAAATTCGTTTTGGTATACAAAAGTAGAGACAGATTCACAAACTATAAATGAAGTGTTGAAACTCGTTGATCGATTTCTGCCAATTTTAGGTAATTAGTTTTCAATTAGTTAAAACAGCCCTAATTTGATAATTTAATGTGTTGTAGGTAATTTGGAAAGTGAAAGTCTTAAGACTCTGAACAATGTAAAATGTAAGCTTGAGGCAGCGAAAAAGATGTTAGCAAATAAACGATGCTATATAGAAACATTCCTCGAAGAATTGAAGAAAGATGTAAATGTCCTGCAACCAATTTTGTCTTCTCCTCCTGATAAACGTAAGCTTTCTTGTTTTGCTTTTTTTTTAATATATTTACACATTTATTTGTTTACAGGCTGCTTGTTTTTCGAATCTAACAAAAATGTTATTGATTTTTTCATGTTGGTCATTGAGAGGTTGACAACTTCCTTAAAATATTTAGATGAAATATGCTTGGAAGAAAAGGAAAAGACACGTGACAGGATCATGGAATTAGATCAAAATGTTTCGTATGTTCATGACAAAATCGTGCGCAACATGCCTTGCAGCGTCAACATACTAAACTATAACCAGCTGGCGCTTAAATATGCATCGTTAAAGGCACTCATTCGTATGCGCTTGGACAACAACGAACAACTTCAAGACATTGCAGATTATCTGCCGATGGATGATGTTCGGCAACAAACAGCAGCTCAATCCACTTCGCTATCTTCTTTCATTCCAAGTGATACATCATTTCATACTGTTATACCTCCAGCATCAACATCAACTAGTCCACCCAATTTACTTCTTCGAGCTCGTCGTAAAATAAGAAACGTGCCATCAACTTTCGTTCCAACTACTACATCCGTTCATACTTTCATACCTCCAGCATCAACTTCTACTAGTCCACCCAATTTACTTCTTCGAGCTCGTAAATTAAGAGACATGCAGAAAAAAGATTAATTTTAGTTGGCTGTGTTATTTTTTGTGATTATATATATATTTTTATCTTAAGTAGTTCTAGCTTTGTTTATTTTAATATTTATTTTATAAGTTACATTTTATATAACAGAATACCTATATTTTATTGTTATTATACGTGTACGAATGTATAGAAATTTGTTTTTAAAATGTATAGATATAAGTAGAAAATATATTAACTGTAAATTTCCACAAATTAAATATTTTATTGAATTGGATTAAACTGATGGCATTTGCAATTATATAACTCGCTTCTCAAATATTTATTCTCATGCTGTGTTAGGTGCATAAATAATTTAAAATGTTTGTTGGGTTGCTTGTGTGACGAGATTTAAATATCTAAAATTTGTAGTTTTGTAGTTAAATTGAAAATGAACCTATCATAGTTTCATTCGTAAATTTAAAATGTTTGCCGGACCCTGATATTTAACAATATTATTAAGCTTATAGTATATGTAATAGATAATACTTAATGTAACGTTAATATGAAGATGTATAATATATGTTAAGTAGTTGATTTGCGTTATTTTCTTGGTATGGTATATATATATATATAATACTATTTATATTTAAGTATGCAAGTTTTGAGCTAATATAAATTGTAGGATTAATATTACAATAAGAGTCGATCAGAACATCTTAATAAAATACTTTATATATAAAAACAAATAAGAATTGTAGCATCACAGTCAGTAAGTAATAATAATATATGTTTAGTAATTAAATATAATTTTTTTCTTTTGTGCTTGTTTTTGGTGAGAATTGGTTAGGTATTAGCTAATCGTTTGATTATTGGGCACATAGCTGTGTTGTGTTAGTAATACGATGTTTATGAGTTTCTCAGATATTGAGGCAACGTAGTTTCTTGTCTGGTACATCAGTGGTGTACTGGAAGGAGTTCGTTCTTTCCTGATCTAACTCATGTCTGTTAAAGTCCAGTTCCTCATCACTGAGAACGTAGGTCACGCAGTCCTTGCCATCGCCCATTAATGAGTCTAGAGGTAGTTTCATTTCCTGTATCTTCTGCATCAGTGCATCCTCCAGTCCGTAAAGGTGATCATCTTTGATATTAGGAAAGTGCATTTTACTGAAGTGCGCCAACCGCAACACGTACTCAACATTATGACCACTCGGTCCTTTTGACCGCATGATCTGATCCACCATCTTCGGCATCGGTGCATCTCCAAGCCACATGTCGTTATCCTGCTGCGCAACGTATACTAGGATGTCGAAGGAAGGTCCGTTGGAAGGATAGAAAGTGGTAAAAATAGTCGTGTATCCACCGAGCGTGATTTCGCGCTCCTTTAAATTCTGGATGACCTGTTCATCGCTAACAATGAACGCCACGCCATGCACGACACTCTGGAATTCATAAAAAATCACAAAATTAGTATGATTATATTTAGGTGATGTCGAAACTGCTTTCTCGTGTGCGCATGCAGCATCAAATTTTCCTTCTTTCTTTAATATGGATACGTTTCTCAAATGTAGGTGGACAATTAAGTTTATATCTTTGTCTTGGATTATATTTGATATTATAAATATAACATCAAGTGGGTCATTGCAATTTCGAATTTCAATGTCGGCCGGTTTAAATAGACTTTCCGTGTAGCCAATGAATGGGATTAAAGTATAATAAATAAACAGAAATGATAATAGGCTTCTAAAGACAAAGATCTTTTGTAGCTATGCTATGGTGATATGAAATAACCCGAGCAATTCTGGGATTTCCGTAACGTTGCACTGATAAGAACAATGACACTCACCTTATCATCCGACACAAGGGTCGCCACGCGGCTCAGCTGTAATACAAATAGTAAATAATGAAAAGTAAGTCTTTTTTTGCAGACTTAGGAATCCGGCAGTATTTACCTGATCTTTGGTTCCGCGGTGCGCTTTGTTGCCCTGCCAAAATTTCCTAGAATATCCTCTGATGCTTCCGAATACAACTTTCTTTACGTCAAAATCTGGTTTCCAGCAGATGCTGCCGTAGCCAAAGATCCAGCAGGCCTTTGCGTCTTCACCGGTGACACCGTTTTGGACTGTGATGCTCTTCCTCGCTTCAGCCATGGTTCGACTGCAAGTGAACCACTAGAATAACTAATTGAGGTTTGCGAATCCTTCACTGAGCCATGCCTACCGCACAGCCCGTCCTTTTTATACTTTCTTTCAGTCTATTTACTGGGGGGCTTCGTTTACTTTTATTAAATGATTTGTTTTCTGTTATGTTTAGATGCCCAGACCAACTGTTTACAACGCGCGCCCGACGTTCAATGAATGGCAGACCGCTGTCTCGCGTGTCCCATAAGCGGAACCGCATGATGTAATCCTGACGCGCATTTCAAGTTCGGAGAAAGTTCAAACCTTTCGGAAAATCGAAAGAATTTCCTAAATTCGCATCTTTTTTCTTAACCAATTATCAATATATTTGTCTCAACTATTAAATTTATTTTATTCAAACTTTTTCTATGATATTTGTATATTGATAGCAATTATGTCAACATTTTATTATCATAATAATTACTTAAACATTTGTTATATTAAATATATATTTTTAATAACATATATAAATACATACAAAATAAAAGTATGAGACATAAAAACACATGAATCATTGCAACAGGTTGTTTAGCAAAGGTTTTTCCGCCCTGTTTTGTAATAAAGTTACTTACAAGACTTTCTGCACAAATCGTTTTTATTTTATTATTATAATGATATTAATTTTGATTGATCCCAATTTCTTAGTAATTTTCTCTTATCATCAGCTCAAGCATTTTAATATTATTTCTATGAAACTCATGACTTACGTCACACAATAATAGCGATATTCGCAAAGTGACACGTTTTGCAACATTTATGATTTTTTTTAAATTTAAAAATCCAGTTACAAGCAGAAATTAATTCAAGAGCATTTGATGAAAATTTTAATTAGATGTTTTCATTCGAACTGATAATCTTTGGAATTTCTGCTTATCAATCACATTTACATTAAAATAAATCGTATTGAAGAAATGAGTAAATTGGATCTATTCCTAATTTAAATATAGTCGATTCCGGTTAATTGGGACACCTGTTAATCAGGGCAGCCGCTAAAGAACGAAAACAAAACTAAGGAAATTAAACAAATTTATTCCGTTTAATCGGGACACTAATCGTGTGTCACAAAACTTTACACACAATTTATAGCATTTTCTATTATTTTTTTAATATACATACGTAAAGTTTTGTGACTTGTTTTATTTTGTGCAATTTATTAAATAAAATATTAAAAAACACTAATCCTGTATTTTTTGTGGAACTTCGGATAATTGGGACAAAATGTATCCCGATTAAGCGGAATCGAATGTATTTCAAATATGTATTCTATATGAATCTTTGTCCCTCTTGCATAATATTATTCAGGTCACAAATACACAAAAATAAAATCATTTGGAGACAAGAAGCTTCAAAATATTTTTAGATTTTCTTCTACTTATGATTATCTGAATTTAATACAAAATAATCCAAATAAGTTTTACTCTATTATTTATTAAATTATTTCCACACAAAAAGGTAAACATATAAGAACATTTTCGTTTAATAGATAAAACATTATTTCAGTATAACAATTGTTATAAGTCGTATTTAATAAAAAAATATAGAAATATAAACGTTTGTTATTGAAATAAATTGAAGAATTATCTGCACTACAATTCTGTTGCATTATTGCAATAAAATATTTTTTTTTATAAGAGTGTATTTGGTTACATCTAAAGAAAGGGCAAAGGTTCAAAATAAATTGCAAACGCGCTCGAGTTGGCAATCATTCAATTGAAGATCCAATTGTTAATGTGCTTGTGAGGTGTTTAAAGCGACATAAGATAAGCAAGTTTTTTTTGTCTGTTACAAAGAAGAACATTCAAAATCCTTCTATTACTTCTGCACCAAATAAGTTGTAACGGTGTAGGAAAATTTGAACGTCTGTAATACACATAAGCAAGGAGTTAGTATTACATTTTGATGTCAATTATATAACAATCATTGGCATATTCAATTCTTTTTATTTACAAAAGCAATGTTATATTTGTCTCGACGTAATTACATAGATTTATTTGTCAACTCAAAAACTTATATAACTTAATCTGAATTATGGCTTGATTTATTTGTAAAATAAAAACTTGTTACTGATTAAAAAAAGAGTAGAAACTTAAGCCAATATAAGCAGTTGCATTTAGCTCAATTTATTGTCTAGTAGTAATTTGAAGAAGTAAATATTAAGAGTATTTAGGAACCGTTAGTCTACAAAAGTATTGCAGCACCTAGCATGAAAAGAGAGGCAAATTAACCCAATATTAGCAGTTCTAATCAGGTCGTTCAACTGTAATGATTTCCTGTCCGGTTTTCGGTCCACACAAACATTATTATCTTATTCCTGTGTAATCAATGCATGGAAATTCCTAAATATAAATTATTATAAGTGAAAGAAAACAGAGTTTTTTTTACAAACAATTTTGTTAATTTCTTATTGAAAATTATTAATTCCGATTGATTACAAAAGTAGAGTATTAATTTATTTGATCATTTGTATGAAAGCCAATATAAATGCGTTCAAACGAATGCTTTATTTAAATGTATCAACGGTTTTCGTTCCGGTTTTGCTTTCGTTACGGTTGGAAAATCTGCTTCATAATTTTTTTTTTCACCAACTGCGTTTTAATAAATCATATTCAGTTAATTTCCTCTTTTTTTGTAATTAGTGTTTGAACTTTAATATAAATTAAGCGAATTCGAATATGCCAAGGATTCGTTACGTACGCTCAATGCGAATGGATTCGTGAAGTCGCTGAAGCTTCCTATATTCAATGTTAAAGGACGACTAGCCCTTCGTATAATAAGGATAATATCCTTCTGAGATTCCGTGTCTCCGTCGAACGGAATGGAATCGTACGCTGCATTCACAATGGACAAACTCTGAAAATCATTCGAAACATATTTAACTGTTTCTCTTGTGCAATACCTCCCATAGTCCAGCTTCGATCAGTCCGGTTTGTAAATTAAAAAAAATAATTAATTGACAAAATAAATTCTGAAAAAAAATGGACAAAAATAATCGATTTTTTTTATATGTATTTAGTCCAGTTTCAAATAGATTACCCGGATTATGCGAGGTATTGATTGTTATAACGTTGTAAGCTTTACATGTTCGATCATACTTTCTCCAGTTGCACAGGACGATATTAGAACCAATAACCAGATAATCATGTGGATCACGTTGTACATGATGTGATTCCCACCCTGAAAGAAAAAGAAGCTTTCAATTTGGATGTGTCCGTTAACGTCAATAAGCTTTATCCATTTCGTAGGCTGCCTTGGATGAAGCAACTTTCGGATTGAATCCTCGACATTTTGCAAAATCATAAATATTCCCAATAAAAGAAATATTTAATGCAGATGTTACGCAATTGCATCGAGGAACATTTCCCTAAGGCATAAATGTTACAGGTATTACGAAACGTTACATATAATACGTAATATGTAATTAACATTATTCGAATACATAAGTATAGTTGCATAAATTTATTTAATTTGGTACACATTAAGCAATGGCAAATTTAACAACATCTTTTTTAAATGATGTTTGTAGCCTGTCAAATATGAATGTCTTAAATCACTTATAGTATGGTTGCAGTTTAATAATGTTTTATATCGTGTAGAATTATAAATTGATTGCTTATACTAAGCGAAATGTTTGTTTAGAGAAACAACATGCATTAAATTTATTACATTCTATGTGAGTTAAATATAATAATAAAAGTAATTTCTAAATATTTATATCACGACATATTTATATCAACGAAGTCACATTAATATATAGCAAATTCAGTAGACTTCCGTATAATGCGATTAATAAGTTACGCTTTGTATGAAATCGCGTAATATGAAAATCTGAATAATCCTCGTATAACACGGATTCCCGTATTTCATTGAATTAGGCGTTGTACTAGTATCGCGTTATATATTTTAAGGGTGTTGTAGGAATTCGCGTGTACTGTAAATAAATTTAGAACATATGTGATTTTTTTCCTCAAGAAACTGATTATTACTCGGCAATTGTTTACATATCATAGCTATTTGAGTTTGTTATGTCTGAGTCTGCCTGAAAATTATTTTCAGTTGGTTTGATTATTTTTAGAACACTTTTCAGACATATACAATAATAAGCATAACCTTAATTATTAAAATACAAATACGACTTCAAAAAAACAATGTAATTGTATGTAAATGTAACATCATCGTCATTTATAGTATAATTATGATATTAAAATAAATTATATATATTTGAATATGAGAGTTGCTAAATTTGGACCACTTCGTTAATTATTGTAATATACTAACGACGTCGCTATGACGGTGAATCGTGAAATATGGGGAGCACAAACTGGAATGTCACCATACCCAAAATTCAAAGGTCCTGCTGATGACACGCTTAGTAAAAATTATAGCAAAACCTTTGTTAATATAACTTGAAGAATTATACTAAGTAAATGTTACAAGAAATAATATTTTAGTATTTGAAGAAATGATGATTGTAAGAAACGTACATACCGATAAAATTTGAAAAATAATTACGCTTAGCATCACTGGCGCTATGAAGATTGAAATTGTTGCGTTCTTATATGCTGAGTTCAGTGTATTCGACAATCTGAAACAGAAATTTTGAGCACTGTTTCTAGAAAATGAATTTGAACTCACTTGATGATGCGTAAATGGTAAATAACACAGTTTTTGATCTGAACTTTCCTGGATGATCTGGTTTTGAAGTGTTTCAGCTTGTCCAACTTTAAATTTAAGTGCTTGAACATAGACAAAACGCACCGGATACACACTAAGTAATCTAAGTAGCTGAAAACTATACTATATGCAGTAAAATATGTAGAGAACAATTGGGTAAAGAAGAAAATCTGCCTTGCAGGTGTATAAAACGTATCCATATAGACATAACTGTAACTGATCAAGCCACAGTCTGTGACTATGTGTTTCTCGCAAGTTATAAAGAACGAAGCCACAAAAGGTATACTAGTTAGAAATATGAATAACCAGAAGAACCTCTTACTGAGCTTAAGCAGCTTCTCATCAATTTCATCAAAATCCTTGGGTTTATCGCATTCGTTCTGGAATTTATCGATGTTATCGTGCAACCATTCGCATAATTTCCAGTTGTTGATATGGTTGACCTGGAAGAGAATTAAAACGATGTCTGGCATTAAACAAGCTATATCTGTCACAACAATTAGTTGATCTTCAACGCCAGTTGAGATAGCGTAATGGATGTGACCAAAAAAGCCAAAGAATATCGACTGTTCAATGATCACCACACAGATTAGGTATAGCAGACGCTTTAGATTCATCTTCCCAAACCACAAACCCATGTAGTTCAGAACAAGCCTATTGAATTTCAGAGACTTCAACATCGTAGCTCAAAATGCGAAGGAATTGTGTTCCAATTCGTTAGAAATATTCATTAGATATCGAAATCGAACCCTTTGATCCGGTTCACGTGCCTTCGCTCGTTTGCATCGATTGCATTTAAATCCTATAATCTTCAGCGAATCATTAAAACCGCATTCAAATACAATTATACACGAAACGAAGGCAGGAAGCAAACGTGTTGCAAGCGCCGTTTATATATCATTATTATCATTGAATTTTCGTGATAAACGCACCGACTTCCAAGGTCAATCCGAGATACGTGGATTCGAAGATCACAGAAAATAATAAAAATAAATAAACAAATGGATGTGTACATTTTTTTTTTATTTAGGCTGGACGCACGCTTTTTCAGATACGGAACTATTATGTAACGCTTTCGTGTGCACAACCAAATAAATGTAAACATTTAGTGTTTTGAAGCAACCAAAGATTAAGATTGTTTTGACTAATTAGGGAATTAATTAGTTTTTGGTTTTGTGTTATGGATTCGGATCTGTTCGAAACGATAATAATCGAGGACTTTAACTGCACAAAAAGAGACTTGACTGAATGAAATTGTGATTTATTGTTAAGAAAATGGACACATCTAGAGTTTAAGCGTATGGCGTATTATGTATATGTTAGATATTATGTATATGTTATATAATTTAAGAAAGGCTTAGGTGGGACATGGCACATGGTTGGGAATCACGTATAAAAGAAAGGAAATTTCCGAGTTGATCTTGCAAAGTTAAACAATAGTTAACAAAAAATATAAACAAAAGCAACTATTGTATTAAGCAATATAATTTAAATATAAATTAAGCCATTAGATAATGTTGAATAATGTTATCATGTTTCAAATGATTAAAGTGATAATAAAAAAAAATCAAAAAAATAATGTATTAATAGAAGTGTTTTATATTTACATAAGTTAATTGATATTATCTGTAATTATTATTTTTTTTAATTACTAACTACAAAAGTACAAATTGACTAATTACCAATTAATGAAGGATTAATTAAAATTTTTCATTGAGAAAGTAGAGATTTTTTTGTCAGGATTAACGAACTCTAAATTGATTGTAAGCTCTGGTGATGAAAACTTACATGAAAGTCCTTGATCTACAATACTTTTATTTTGTGTCACACGCTTTTGATATTGACTTTTTGCCAAAAAATGTTCCTATCCTATTTTCCAATGGTGTTTTGCGTCTCAACAAAATACAATAACTAAACTAAAATTTGACAAACATTATTAACTTGTAGCCTCGAAATCAGTTTAAAAAAAGAAATAATAAACACAAGACAGAATTCATTCTTATCATTTGACTACTTTTTGCTTTGCTTTTATTTTGATTTTATAAAAAAAATAATTGATTGCTGACGTGGTTATGACGCATTTATGAAAATTAATTTATAATTAGATTTGCTTTAATTATAAAAGTTTTTTTATTCAAATTATTGTATTGTTATATAGGCTACCCAAATAGCGTTCATGTTTTATTTTCCGATTGGATCTTTGTTAAAAAATGAATAAATTTGTAACTAAGTACACTTCAAAATCAAAGTACAGATAGACCAAGATATTGCTATCGTTTTACACGGTACTTTCTTTACACGATTTCGCTTATGCATGGTTTAAAAAATATTTAAATTAAAAAACAAAGTTTGACCATCCTTCGTTTTACAACACGTCCTATCTTTTTTTTAACACGTTTTAGCTTTTACACAGTTTAAAATAATAAAATAAATTAAAAAAATAGAAAATATCTGGCTATGATAAAAAAAAACTATTTTTAGCTGTATACATTTTGTTTTACACGGTTTTACATATAAAAGTTACAATTTTGATATACACGTTTTTCTCGTGTAAATCGAGTGATAGGTGTACTTTCAAATTGGACATCTTAGTTAGGCAAAACTATTAGCATTAAGGTGAATTGGTTTTATAGATAATGTTGAGGCCGTGAGGTGCTGCCACCTAGAATCCTCACCTCCGCACGTTCCTGATATCCTGGTGATCGCGTAAAAATTTGTCATAACACAGAAGAAAGCCATCAATCATTTAATTAAACAATTACATAATGCTTATAAACAATAGTCGCTTAAACGAAAAAAAAAACAACAAAATAATGTAAGTTCGAAAGAATCGCTTATGCTAATTGACTTACTATACAACGTGTTGAAGAACGGACGAGTAAATAAATAAATTCGCCAGCAAAAATATGAACGGGTTCTTTCATTTAATATGTGTTTCGTTCTTTATTTATATATACTTTTTTTTCCTTCCACTGTCCACATGTAAATAAATAACACACGTAATGCCGATACGTAAACGGCCTTTAATTGTTTCTTGTCGCTGTCATAATTTAATCGTGTAATTGAAGTGGCATTTCCTTTCTAAGCGCGGTATACAATCAACGTACAAAAAAAATAATTATAAGAAGATGGTACTCGCACTTTCTGAGCAGGAAACTCTTTCCCTCATCCTTTTATTTATTTCCTGGAACATTGAATAATGGACCGCTGTTGCTTTTTGTTTTCTTTATAAAAATTACCTATGCAATCAATGATCAAAGATCATTTCATATAATTTCTTTATTACCATTTCTTGGGCATTCTTTTGTCAAGAATACAAACATACAATTCGTTCCTAGAATGAAATTCGAAGAGAAATTCTTACCTTTATTGCTTTATTAATTTCCCAGAAGGATTGATAACCGTTCCATGTATTACCTCTACTTAATTAATTAATATAATTTACTAAAAGCATTTCACTCTATCTGATTTTCATTAATTGATTTTAATTATCGACAGCTATAAAATTTCGAAACATGAATACAGCATTAAAATAAGAATACTACAATTCTTGCAAAAACAAAATAATGATTAAGTATAAAGTTTCATGCATTCAAAGTTTGATCGAACAATTTCTTTTTTTTTATCTCAATTGACTATCGACTAAATAGTTTGATTATAAGTCACATGTATTTTCCCCTATTTTCAATGATCTTTACAACATCTAAACAAACAATCAAATAAAATTTATTTACCTGTTCCATTTCCAAAATCATGTAAATTTATTCAAGTACAAAAATAAATATATTTGTTTATTCCTTCTAATTTGGGTTTTATCGAACTAAATTTAATACATAATATTAACAAAATTTATTTAAACAATGATACAATTACATAAATAATTACAACAGAGAGGTGAAATTAAAAAAAATAACACATGATATTATATAATTAAACAATTTTTTTTTATCCAAATGTTGGAATAGTTAAACTTGGATTTAGTACAAATTTACCAATATAGTATGTTTTTTTTATATAAATTATCATCAAATTTGTATTGTCCTTCTAAGACAAGGGTTGACAACATTTTTGGAGAGAAGAGCCATTTTTTTAAGATTTTATCTGTTAAGGAGCCGCACGCGATCAAATGATTTCAATTGTTGAAATAGTAGTTAATCATTAGGTAAAAAAGTATTTAATTTTACATAAATTATGAATTAGATAATAATAAGAATTAATTTGTTCATCATATTTCTATTGTCCTTCTAAGACAAGGATTGTCAACATTTTTGGAGTGAAGAGCCATTTTTAAGATATTATCAACAGAACACGGTCAAATAAGGGTCGGCAAGCTTTTTGGAGTAAAGAGCCATTTCTTAATATATTATCTGTTAAGGAGCCGCACGCAGTGATATTCCAATGGATACAAGAATCTAAAGATAAAATAACTAATGTAGACATTAATTGTAATTTAATTCTTGGTTAGATACATTTACTAGGATTAATGAATTATAATTAAATAGGATTTGAGTGAAGACAAAAATCAATTAAAATACTTGTTTTTTTTTCTTCTCTCTCTTCATTTCGTTTGCTCGTTGTTACATAAGCCAGTGTTGGTACATCGGCGGAATTTGATCGAAAGTTATTTCCTTTTCAGTGTTGGAAGCATTGATTATAGGCTGTCACCGTGTGGCTCTTTCTTCGCTCTCCGATCAAAGTCTATCACTCCTCTGGCGCAGCTCCTCAATTAGCAATTGTTATATCTCCTCTTTGTTAGTTAGAAAGTATCATCACCAGTTCTCATGGTGTTCTTATTTTTTCCCTGTTAGGAAATTGGATCAAAGGATGTCGTATGAGTTAAATATAGATAGATGAGCGTCGAGAAAAATATGTAGTTTTTCCGGATCAAAGGCTGTCAGTTTTACTTTTTGTGAATCAATAAATTAATACTTCTTCAACCCAAATATTTCCGGTTCACATAACTTATTATTACATTATACTTAATCATCTATTAAAAAAATCTTACATTGTCTCATACAATACAAAATATCTTTATTACACATATTTTATGATTCTACTATTTCTACTCATTTTTTTTTTCAATTTTCAAATCAAAAGGAATTTTTATTTATGTTAGATCGACAATTCTCACGGTATTTTATATATTGGTTGTCTTTTTTTTTTCTTGAACATAAAAACCTGTATTCTTACATATTAATAATATAGAATTATTAATGAATTCATACATTTATTTTTTTTTAAACATTATTAATTTAAATATTATTAATCCAGGAAGCATCGTCTTTTATTAATTAAATTATTAATTAGTATCTTTCTTTCCGACTATTAAATAATATTTCATAACAAATTTGAAAGAATCGTTGACACCGAAAATCAATAAAAAAAAAACTAGATTTATTTAGATTTTTTGTTTTGTTTTTATAAATATATTCTGGCCAATAAATTGTTATTAAGATTTATTTTTATTTTTTTGTTATTACACAGAGATGTTATTGAGAAAAATTGATGAAAGGATTACAATTTCAAAAGGTAGTGACAGCAATTCATAATTCTCTTTTGAAGAGAGTAATGAATTGGTAAGGAACAGATCACAATGCCTGGGAAAAGGTACCGTACCTTCTTCATATATATTTTTTTAAACCAGAATCGCAGCACATTTTTTTTTGATTGAACGCTGCTACCTTTTCTACCTTTTTTTTCCTTACCTACCGTGCAATTAAGAACTGTTATATCTCGATTATTTTGACAGCGATTCATAGAAAACTTTCAAGCTGATACTTTAAAAAAAAAATCGTTCAATATGTGTCAATCCATTAATATTTCTTTCACATTATTATAGTTATTTTTCTGCTTCATCTGATTTTTTTACAAAACTTTTCAAATTATTTTTTTATCTGCTTCAAGATAATTCCTGAAGATCTGATTTTATATTAAACTTTTTTCACTTTATTATTTTCTTTGCTTCAATTAATGAAAATCCTATTTTTCAATGCTACAATTCATGAAAAACCCATTTTTTTTATTAAAATTTTCACGTTATTACTTTTTTGCTTGAATTCAAGAAAATTTCTGCTTCAATTAATAAAGATTTGATTTTTTATTAAGCGTTATAAAGAACGAATTTATTTTTATGAAGCTTTTCACCTGATTAAAATATAGTTGACAAAAATTGAGGTCATAAAGATTACTTCAAATACATTATATAAGCATTGCTATTATATTTGGGATAATGTTCAGATCACAGGATGTTCGTATCTGACTATAAAAAAAGCACATGCTGATAGCAAAAAAAATATCAAAGGATGTCACACTCTTTATTTATTTATGTGAGTATTTAATTGCGATAATTATAGTACTTTCTAAATTAAGCAATTATAATTGAGGTTCATGTCCACAATGTATCTGTTATGTTTATGCTTGTTTCTCATTACAAACATTTTTTTTATATGAAAGGAATTTATATAGTTTTCAAATCTATTAGAGAGTTGATCAAAACAAGAATAATTAATGTGTGTTGATTAATATAAAAGTAAGAATCAAAATTACTTAACTAATATAATCTCACTCAATACTATTGAAATCAATAATTGTTAACTGTTTAACATTAAAATTATAGTATTTTTCATGATTAATCTTACGAATTAATGATCAGTTAATAATAGATTATTGCTATATAATTAATATAATTGAGGTTTATAAGCTTGTTTGTTAGTACAAAATATCATTTTGATGGTTTTATGTGAAAGAATTTTTGAGATTAGATTGATCAAAGGATTTATTGTTGGGATTTCTATTGTTCATAGCTGAGTATTAAGATGTGTAGCACTTCGTCTTTAACACACAAAAAATCTTATTGCTTGGAGCAGAAAACGGTGTTGACTAATTACCATTAACACCTCTCCATAATCCTTTGTTTCGTGTCAAGTTCTCATTAGTTCCCTTCGTGCATTCGATGGA